CTGCTTATCCTGGGCCGCGGGGGCAAGCACGCTAAGCAAAGCACCCCAGACGTCCCTCTCCCCAGCAACACTTTCCAGCTCCTCCTGGAGGATCCTGAGGTGTTCCCAGACCAGATGAGATATATAATCCCTCCAGTGTGTTCTGGGTCTGCCCCGGGGCCTCCTACCAGTGGGACGTGCCCAGAACACCTCTAACAGGCGGCGCCCAGGAGGATTCTGATCAGATGTTGAACCACCTCAACATGAAGGAGCAGGGGCTCTACTCCGAGCTCCCTCCAGATGTCTGACTCCTCCCCCTATCTCTAAGGCTGAGCCCAGACACCCTACAGAGGAAACTCATTTCAGACGCTTGTATCTGTGACCTCATTCTTTCAGTCACTACCCAGAGCTCATGACCTTAGGTGAGTGTTGGGACGGAGATGGACCAGGAAATCAAAAGCTTTGCCTTCTGACTCAGCTCCGTCTGAACCACGATGGTCTGGCACAGCGCCTGCATCACTGCAGACACCGCACCAAACCGCCGATCCATCTCACGCTCCATTCTACCCTCTGTCAGATTTATGTTCATGTGTTTGACTTGACTCAAGTCAGACTTAAGGTGTGAGGACGTTAGACTTGCTTGGCTAACACTGATAAAATACTTGACTTAGTATTCATGACTTGGGACTTGAGAAGCTGCACTGTGCCACATGGATCTGATTAACTTGGGTACAACATCAGGTTTGATGTCTGCAGACTGTACGATGACAGCGTCACTGAGTCACAGGCGACGACGTACGATTAACAGCTTCACATACTGAGTGATGCTGCAGGGTTATTACTCCAACTGTGGAGAACAACATATGGGGTCACGTTAAAGATAAAAAAAAATAGATAAAAAAATAAAAATTTATAAAATTATTATCATTAAAAAAATGTCTGGAAAAAAAAATAAAATGCTCGAAAAAATATTAATTAGATATCTGAAAAATATTTTTTTTTAAAAGTCAAAAAAATATTATTAAAGTGTTTGTAAATGTCTGAAAAGTATCAAAAAATGTCAGAAAAAAAATGTTAACAAAATGTCCAAAAATATTATTGTCATTTTTAAAAATATTAAAATGTCAGAAAAAAATGTCTCAAACAATGTAAAACAACAAAAAACAGAACTTTTGTGGGCACTATATACACTGCAGTGTGTGTGTGTGTGTGTGTGTGTGTGTACGTGTTTGCTAGCTGCTAGGCGTCTCACCTGGCAGCTGTAGCTCCGCCTCTATTTCCTTCCATGCTTCGTCCTTCTTTACGCGATCATGGTCAGAGCTGGAGGACACATCATACAGACAAGGCTTCACAAGCTTTTCCTCTTTGCTGGAATCACACACATTTCTTTTAGGGTGTTTTGCCTCCATGGCGAGCTGCTGTCTGTCTGTTGGTTTGGGTTTAGTGCTGATCAGTGCGTCATTTCATGCTGCGTTTCTATTGGTTGGTTAGCAGACGTAGGTGGTAACAGCAGTCACACAGTGAGATGGTCATCCCAAATTTTATCCCAGGCCGTCTTTGATCACAGACGATGACAACAGCCATCCTTGAACCTCTCACAGTGTGATGTTGGACCACTGTTTTAGAGCCACGACCGAAGATATGATCATGATGGTCTTTCGTCTGGGACAGAAGAAGATCACACAGTGTGTACTAGGATTAAGACTTAAGACAGATGTCTCAAAGACTTGACTGTTTTTTAAATTAAATATTTTGCCTTTTTCCAGACTTTGAGAAGTTAGATTTTGTCTATAACATGATTGTGTGATTTCTTGTGCAGTGCCCATAAATCTGGCAGCGTACCAGGACCAGCAGAGGCCAACCTACACGGCAGCTATCATGGAGGGTGCTGTCCCAAAAATAACACGACTTGGTTTTAAGGATTATGTTGTTGATGACGGCAGTAAAGAGAGAATCACATTACGCAGAGTCTGCAGCTCAACAATCAGCGACACGACCACGACAACATCCAACTTCAGCCATCACCACAAAACCCTCAAAGAAAAAGAACAGGAAGGTTTTTGTTTTTTAAATCTTACAGTTTCAGTTTCAGCTCCTGATGCTCACTTCAGCACTTTCCAGTTAATTTCAGAAAGTATTCATAGAAACACGACCCTGACAACCGACTCAAGGTCGATCATATAAATCACATTTTATTTATGGCTCCATCACTGATTCACAGCACTTTGTCCTTCATGTATTTTTATTCTGAAAACTGTCCATATAGCACATGATTGTGTGTGTGTGTGTGTGTGTGTGTGTGTGTGTGTGTGTGTGTGTGTGTGTGTGTGTGTGTGTGTGTGTGCTTATCTCAGGTGGTCTCAGACATCAGCGGCCTGATTTCTGACACAAATGATGGATGTTTCAGTGTGAAGATGAAAAATGATGCTGACACGTTCACAGCAGTGATTAAACGTCAGTCTCACTTAGAAACACCAGAGTCCACCATGACGTATGACATCACAACTTTTATTTTAGTCTTAATGCGAGCAGAACTTCTGTTTCATCACATTCTGAAAACCACATCAGGATCACCTCAGTAAACATTTACAACCTCTGCACCAGACCACAGGTCATCTGTACAAACAGCTTATTACAACACATATTTCTTGTAAATGTAGTAAACTTAGTGTTTGATGTATTTATTCATTTTATTTATTTAACCTTTATTTACGCAGGAAGTCCCACTGAGATTGAAAATCTCTTTTACTACGGAGACCTGGCCGAGGCAGCAGCCAATCAGAACACATTCAAATGCAACAAATACAGCATATGATACAAAAATACACAATAAAACAACAGCTATTCAAACATGGCGGCCTCTCAAGAAAAACAAGCACATGTCTCTGTCACATGTTCTTTATGATGCCCTTAAATTCACTGATGGATGTAAGTGTATCTGATGTTAGATCTTTTCGGAGGTTGTTTCACGTCCATGGTGCCTTGTAATTATGTCTTGCAAAAATATTATGTGCAGCTGTTTGAGTTCTCCTTTAAATTGTCTGTGTCATTCCATGTTCGCCATGTGCAGCATGTTGGGCAGCATGTTTGTGTGAAAGGTGCTTTATAAAGTTGAGTTGAGTTGGTAAATGGAAAGAGCTCCACCTTTAGCAGCGACAACATTAATGTCCAGGTAAAGTAAAATTAGAGACTTCTTTCTAAACGCATTTAACATGTTAGAAAATACTTGTTGAGAACATGTGAACAGTTCATGTTTTTTACCATTTCTGAGTCCAGGATATTTTGGGTGGGCCTGAAATCATGGCTTACTGACCAACTCATCCTCACTGTGACCTCGTCACATGTCCACGTTTGGTCATGGACTTTCCACGTCCACATATGACGTCCAAGGTACCCTGGGTGTGTTGGTTGTTGACGTTCTGGGACGCCGTGTCAACTTCAGCCTGTTACATGCATTGTCTGTTTTCAAAATACACTTCTGTTTTCACAGGAAATGTACAGTTTGATACAGTCTCTTTCAAAATAAAAGCACTACGTCCTTACAACACGGTGAATTTACTTTTTTTTTCGTCAGCAACACACATGGTTGGGTGTAGGAACAAAGAACAGGGTTTGGCTTTACAATCTTACAGGAAGTGAACACCGGCCTCCTGGGTGAAAGTCAGTGGTTGTTGCCTGCCTAGCTGCCTGTTCTAATCATTTAAATTTGGCTGCGTGATTAACAGCACATTTTTGTTGTGTGACAAACTCATTACACATTTATTTTAGCTTTAACAGGACTTTAAAGTGATGAACACAGTACTGCATCAATAAATATAATAATGCATAATAATGAGTGCTTTCAGTTTAACTTAATGATCTGAGTACGTCTTCTAAACACTTAACACATGTATTTTCATAATCAGTCTTACTGAAGTATGTCTAATGAAACAGCCCCATTAAACAGTGAGGTCTGTTACTTTATAATATTAGTGTCTTCAGTCAGTCGTGCTCAGCTGGCAGTGAGCATGCTAACAGATTAGCTTCATGCTAGTGATCCAGGTGTCCTGCTGTTTAAAACATGAGCTCCACCTGTGATTATCTCATGTTTCTGCAGTAACGAGCTCTCGGCTGTAATTTGTGTTGGGTGAAGGTGAAACATGACCGGAGGGTCGGTGGGTGAGGAGGAGGAAGAGGAGGAGGTGCAGGGGGTGAAGCCCCATTATTACCTGCCCTGATGGAGCAGCTCCAGGCGGGCATGGCCTCATTTTAAAGAAGAGAAGGGAAAATATATTTTCCTGCTCAGACTCTGGGGAGCAGCTTCGGGGGGAGGGGTCGGATGTATAAAAATAAAAAGGGTCTTTTTATTTAAATTGCCTCGGCTCTCATTTCTGTTCTCCTGTCAGGTTTCTCATCTCATGCTCTCATAGTTTCTGCCCTCTGGCCAAAATAAACTGGACTGATTGATGCAGTCAGTCACTTCTGTGTAATCAATATATTTAATTTAGTTCACAGCCTCAGATCAACAGTACTCAGGTCAGGTGTTTTAATGGGAGACACATGACTAGAGGAGAATGCTGAAAACAACCTGTTTTTATTTACCTGTTTGTTTCCTGGTTTCTAGTCAACATTTCAGCCCCGACCACCACCTGTCTCTGAACTTTAGTCATTTGTTTTTGTGTCTTAACCAAACCAAACCCCGAGGATACAGGTGGCAGATCACATTATAGTTTCACCTTAGGGTGCATCTGACAATTATTTTATTTATCAGTTCATCATTTGACCAGTTTTTGATGAATTAATAGGTTGTTCAGCCGGTAAGTGTCACACTGACCCAGAGCCCAAAGACACATTCTCAGATTAATCGATAAATTAAATTTAAGATATTCAGTTTAAAGAGACGTACGACCCAACTCATCCTCACTGTGACTTCGTCACATGTCCACGTTTGGTCATGGACTTTCCACGTCCACATATGACGTCCTTTACATTTCTGCACAGAACCAAACGACAGCAGCAGCATCACGCTTTAATGTGTGATTTCAGACAGTGTTTTATCATTGGCCAACCAAAAGAGGCGTCTAATGTGACCAGCACATTCTCTGACCTCATCACCTCTTGACGTTTGGTCATGGACTTTCCACGTCCACATATGGCGTCCAAGGTACCCTGGGTGTGTTGCTTGTTGACGTTCTGGGAACACCGGCCTCCGACTTCCATTGCCTTAACTTTCACTGTTGTCCCACAGTGTTTTCACCTGACGCCACCGAGTGCCGTTAAACAATAACAGCGACCAGCCACGAATCATACCAACGTGAAAGGGCGGCTTTTTCTGTTGGTGTCTGACGCCAGAAGTCACTGACCAAACGCTGGATTTCCACAGCTTCAGAGTGAGACTGGGATGACCTGAACAGAGAGAAGCAGAAACTCTTCACACGATGGCAGTCTGAGACTTTTTGTCAAGTAAATGACAAATGACAAATGACATTTATAGCAGTTTTGAAGGACACCAAAACAAACAAACATTCACAGCTTGATTTGGAAGAGTTAGAAATAAACCTCTAGAGAAGTATAACTGTGACAGGCTGGATGTCGACCGCAACATGTGTCCCTGTAAATCTGCCGACCAGCTGCATCTTCATGCACATCAACATACTGAAACACTCCTGTCTCCTGTAGCACAGCACACAGCACACAGAGGCAGACAGTAGTCATAGTACGGTAGCCTGAGGGCGACAATCTAGGAAGAAAACATGATGTAATGCTGCTTTCCTGACGCTGGACAGTGGACAGGAAAATATGATGTGTAAAGAAGCTGAAATATATCAAGCTGTCTCTGATGTGTGTTGCTCATATTTCCCAGCGTCAGATCATCAAAGCCTAAAGTGATTCTTACATTCTTTAACTATAGAAATGCGTAGTCTATACACTGACTTTAAAAAGTTATAACATTTCATCAACTAAATGTGCATTAAACGTGTAGGCTGGCACCTTTACCTGCAAAAATATCACCAGCGATGGCTACAGTCGTCTTGAGTCTTCCTGTGGATTCCACATCCAAAACAGCAAAAGTCTACAGAGGAGCCACGTAAGGGTTAATGCCCGACGAGGTGTCCATTATCAGGAATTAATGGACGACGCGGAGGCGTGAAGGCATTGCTTCCGCGAAGATAATTTATGAAGAGCATCAGATTGGATTTAATAATGCACCCATAGTAAACAAGCCAAGTTAGCCTTAGAGCTAATGCATGCTAACTATGCTAATGACAGATCAGAGATGTGCAGCAACATTTTTAGATCTTCAAGTCTTAAAGATCTTAAACAAAAGCCAGTGTCATGATGCAGGGTTTTTGTCTGTAGTCTTATCTCGAGGATTATGTTTGTTGGGTTTTCTGTTTGTGTTCTTGTTTCATGTTTCAGCTGTTTCCTGTTTCTTTTCCAGGATCCACTCCTTATGTGTCATGTCTGCTTTTATTTCCTGTCTATTGGTGCGTTTGTTTTGTACTCGGAGGTCGGAAGTCAGAAGTGGGAATGACGTCACCTCCAAGTTGACAACAGTTTTTGCATTCTAGTTGACAACGGTGGAGAAGTCAGAACAAAACATGGATGCCCGCAAGAAAGCCTTTGTTGCCCTTGCACTTTCAGAGTATATACAAAACCATCATGCACTGTGATGAACGCCACACATGAGGCTGACCTGATGTAAAACAAATAAGATAAAGTTGTTATAAACAGTACTTTAGCAGAGTGTTGACTCACTATATATGTGACCAGCAGCCATCTTGAATTTGTAAATCTGGGTTGACGCCGTTGCTCCGAGTTTCTGAGTTGGAAATCCGACCTCAGGGTGCGTTCAAGTTTAAACTTCCAACTAACTGGGAATTTCCAACCTCCAAGTACAAAAGGAATGCACCATTTGTATGTTACCTGGCCTCAGTCTTTGTCCCTGATTACTTTCACTCACCTGTTCCTACTCCCTCTCCTTTACCCAGCTGCACACCTGCCCTGCGTCAGCCTCATTGGTCCTTCTCTGCTCCTGACTTTTCCCCCAGCTGGTCAGCTTCCTGCCTCGTCTTCTGCCTCATCATATTATTCCCCTCACCTGAGCTCCTCCACCCCTTTTCTCCACCTGCACTTCATCCCCTCATCAAACTAGTTTGCAGGTAAGTCCTGGTTGTGTTTATTTGGTTGTGTGATCTCAGTTCCTGTTCCCCTGATCTTTTGGAGCTCCTGTGACCTGCTGTCTCTTGCGTTTGGGTCCACCTGCTGCACACCACATGACAGCCAAAAACTATATCATGTTGAGTTGCTGTGAGTTGTAAATTCCAAGCAGAAGGCAGAAGATAACAAAGCCTTTCCTCCTCCAGGCAGCTGCCTCCGTCTCACTCAGACTCACCCTGGGTCTGTGTCTGCAGCGGCCTGTACTGGAGAGCAGTGTGACAGTGAGAGCTCTCACTCTGCAGCTACTTTTGGAGACAACGTTCCCACGAGTTCCACTGAATGACAAAAAAAGACTTCAGTCGACTGATGATTTGAATCTTCACCTTCCAGCGGGCAGCTCTACTTAGCATGCTGTCATATGGAAGTTAACAAGGAGGCCACTGAAGTCAGTGTTAATGGTTTCCTTTATAAGCTGAAGTGCGCTGGGAGCCAGTGAATTCATGAGCAGGTGATAATGAGGAGGAGAAGGACGAGGACAAAGAGAGCCAAATATTTAATCATGGCTTTTGTGGAGAAATGGCTGCACAGAGTCTAATACCTGGGATTTTTTAATGAAAATGCACATTTGTGAAGTACTATTTTATTTTATTTATTTCATTGTCTATTTTAGTATTTTATTTATATCTTCATCTTTATCTCTTGTTTCCATTCAAGCTGTTTTTCTATTTCTACTTTGCACGGAGCATTGGAACAAAAACAATTTCCCCCCGGGAATTAATAAAGTATTCTGAATCTGAATATGACTGGATAAATAAGACTTGGATTATACTGCACGAGTTGTGTGAGAATTTGCTAACGGATGTCTTGATACAGATTTGCTGTTGTTATATGTCTTCCCCCGTCCAATCAATAAATCAATGTTCCCTATTTTGCATTGAGGCACGTGTGGAAAAACCACGTTTTCTTCACAAATTCAAGAACTGATTTACAAATGATCATTCTGTGGGTGCAGTGCTCCTTAACATGGATCCTTTCTTCAGTAAAATGTCAGAATAGTGAAAAACACCAACAGCCCAAAACCCAAATATATTTAGTGTATTATCACCGAATGTCTATTGATCATAAATCATCACATTTCAGAGGCTTTTTTTGAGAAACCAGTCAATTACCATAACTGACAAAAGCGTTTTGTTGTTGTGTGACTGTGAGCTGCAGCCCTGTCAGGACGGAGACGTCACATTAACAGCAGGTGTAAAAGCCGGGGCCTGTGATCAGATAGCGATTGTAGGATCTCTCACACATCATCACACAGAGCGCCGTCAGTCAGTGAGAGGTTCACAGAGGCTGCGGTGCTGCTCAGGGATGTGAGGACGGCCCTGCTGCTGCTGCTGCCGCTGCTGCTGAGGACTTTCCTCCTCTTTTGTTATCAGGATAAAGCAGCTGCTGCTTCAGACCACCTGAACAAAGCCGAGCACAGACGCAGCTCAGAGATGCCTGGTCAATAATAAAATGGAGATTACTCCACCTCTGCAGCTCCATGTCTGCACACCACCGACACAGCAGGGAGATTAGAGCTGCCAGCTGGGGGGAGACGTTAATGCCTCCCGATGGGTTCGAGACCCCCCCGAGTAAAGAGGGTGTTAGAGGAGGAGGTGGAGGAGGAGGAAGGTGCAGCTGGAAATGAGTTTCCCAGTGGGTGCTATTCATGCAGTCAAGAGTTCCTGAAGTTGTTAGTGGGGGAACACATGATTGAATATTATGGGTTGTTGTGAGCGGTGCAGGCGGTGATTAGTGTCACACTGTACAGTCTTTATGCTAAGCTAAGCTAATCTAACCAGTTGCTCCACATTCAGTCAGGTAAACATATTTTTCTCTCAGTGTCAGAGCTCCATTTTCCAAAAGTTTCCAGAGTGCAGAAATGTTAAAAGTCATTCTGGGTGTTTCAGTACCTTCGGGGACAAAAAGCTGACATAAGCTTGTTATGATGTCTGCCTCAGGTGAATTATATGAAGTCTAAAGCCCCAGATCAGAGACAAATTGGCGTTGGCTCAGTGCTCACAAAGCCAACCCAGTGTCACTCAGAAGTCATTGAAAACAAGCGCTTGGTCCTTGACAGCGATGGAAAAAGCCGTCCTTTCACATCCCCATGAAAAGTGGCTGTTTGCAGTTATTGTTTAATGGCACCCAGCGGTGTGTCAGGGGGAAACGCGGTGAAAGTTAAGGCAGCTGATGTCCAAGTAGGGTGGAAGGGAGCGGTTGTGGATGGGTCCAACAACCACTGACTTTTATCCGGGAGGTCGGTGTTCTCTTCCTGTAAGATTTTAGAGCCAAACCCTGTTCTTTGTTCTAAACACAACCATGTGCGTGTAGTTTGAAAACAGACAATGCATGTAACAGGCTGAAGTTGACACGGCGTCCCAGAACGTCAACAACCAACACACCCAGGGTACCTTGGACGTCATATGTGGACGTGGAAAGTCCATGACCAAACGTGGACATGTGACGAGGTCACAGTGAGGATGTGTTGACATAGCAGCGCTTGAGCACCATGTATAAACTGCATTGCAGACGCTCCCCAGATATCTGGACCTGTCCGGGACCTTGTTGGTAAACTACAGCTGATTAGAGCACAAGACAGGAGTTGAGGACAGAGTCTCTGAACCAATCAGCTGTAGGTCTGACTATGATATGCCTAAGGGGGGGATGGCAAATATTTTTGGGGATCCGGTGTAGCTAGCGGATATCAGAGTCAAGACTGTGCGGCAGTCAATTCAGCTGGATCTCTATAAACAGATATTTGCATATGAATGCAGAAACATTTTTGAAAAGCTAATAAAATGTTTTATTGTATTTAGCCAATGAGTTCCACCTCTTTTGCTTTCCACACAGACTGTTTACCTGCAGGCAACTAAAGCCCGCTGAAACATGATTGGTCAGTGCTACTCAGACTACAAACGTAAACCAAAACACTTCTGATATCAAGATCTGGCACCGTTGCCTATGTTTGCAGAGATTAAAGAAAGAGAGGACTGAGCACTGCTTTTTGAAGCTTTTTGCTCGCTTGTGTTGCTACGTGCCTCGTGATTCTGCGCTATAGGCGCCTGGCGTTTTTGCCGGAGCGCTCTGAACTCTTTGAGTTGAAAAAACTTCAACTCAGAGCAGAGAAGCGCTCTGTGTCATCACCGTCTTTTACTCCATTGTTTGTTTGGATGATTTGAGAGGCGGGGCTTCTGTGGCGGACAGACTGTCATATTCATATAAATACCAGCTCCATTTTCCTCAGACAGCTGACAGATTGTAATTGTTGCTTTGTGCCTTATTTCCTGCCTGAACCCTGTAACCTCCACCTGCCTGTGAGCTTATTTTCCTTCCTTTCATCAGTAAATCACAGAATTCTTCCTGCCTGCCTCGACTGCCTGTATTCAGATCCTTCGCCTCTGTCCTTTGTAACAAAGCTGCTCAGTGAGGGTCGACTGTGTAATCTAGACCGATTAATTCATGCACTTATATCTAGGGTACCTTGTACGCTGTACCTTTACATGGAAACTCTATGACTAAATGTTCATATGTGATGAGGTCGGAGTGACAATGTGTCTCTGTGTCGACAGACGTCTGTACTTAAATCACTGGACACTTGTGTTTTCACACTGAAACTTTCAGTTCCCCTCCACTGAGAACATTTTAGTATGTGTTAGTATGATTTATAATATTTGTCCTCCACTGTCTCCTGACTGACAGAAACAGAACTGTCATTCTTACAATCTGTGTCAAATTCTATTAAAATAAAATGATTTTTCTCTCAGAGCCCGGGGAGATGAAATGCTGCCGCCTCACTGAACATTATCATATATTCGCTTCTACAACCGTTCCTTCATATCACTGCGAATACTGCTTCTCT